AGAGAGGCTGCTCTTGTGAACACAGTGGTGACTCCACTGCTGAATCCAGTCATCTACACTCTGCGAAACAAGCAGGTTCACCAGGCTCTGAGGGATGCTGTATCTAGACTGAAACTGCAGAAATAGGATCATAGGTTTGTGGGGTTTGTGGAGAGTAAATAGATCTCCTTGGTCATCTAATTCACTTTCCCACCATGGTGGAAATCTTCTCCATGAATTCTCCATAGAAAGTGATCTATTATGCTAATATTCACCTACATAGATGTTACCTTATTTCGAAGTCTAATGCCTTTCACTATTTGATAATCCAAATTAGTTCTCTGTACTGTGATAAAATTATCTTTCTTGATTTCAACTCATTAGTTTTGAATGAATTCAATTAAAACCACATTTATGGAGAGAGAGCCTAATATACAGAAATCAAATAATATGAAGCATTTAGTCTAAGAATAATAAAGTTGCCAATCATATTTAATAACTGTTCATGATATATTCTTATTCTTGAACTTTCTGACACCTAAGAATGGTAGTTAGTAACTCCTTTATTACCATTTTATTTATTCAAGGCAATATTTGAAAATTCCACAAGTCCTAATAAGGTATCCTAATGAAAGTTAATGGAAAGTCCTTAATTGTTTATGTAAATAACTCAGCAGTACACTTACTAAATTCTCTCTCTGAATGCTTTGGTTTAGACATATGTCTTCCACTTGTATCAAGCATTATTAATAAAGGTATTTTTAATCCTTTCCTGAGCCATCAACAAAATGAAAAACTTTCAAGTGTGTGCATTTTCTCCCTGTGATTGATGTAGCCAAGCCCTAGAACAGGAGTTCTCAACATGTGGAGTGTGACCCCTTTGCAACAATGGAAATACATCCTGCATATCAGATATTTACATTATGATTCATAACAGTAGCAAAATTACAGTTATGAAGTAGCAACGACAATTATTTTACGGTTGGGGGTCACTACAACATGAGGAACTGTATTAAAGGCTCATGGCATCAGGAGGCATTAGGAAGGTTGAGAACCACTGCCCTAAACCCACTCGGTGGGAGGAAGGAAGATGGTCTCAGTATCAGATTCTCCCCTCATGTGCAACAGACATCTTCTCTAATGTGACTTTAGTGATAGATGAGGCCAATGTCTTTTGGGATACACTAAATTCTGGTTGACATTCTGTGCAGAGAAAAATAAGAGAACTCATGTTAGAAAAGTATAAAGACAACCAAACTAATTATTAATAAAAAGCATGAAAATTAAGTCAGTTATTGTCTTTGCCAGTTCATTGAACAAGTTCCTCCCCCACAAAAGCAATGGCTCTAGAGGGAATTATGTTCCTGCCACTCTCAGTCCCCCCATCTGCATGGTGTTGTTTGACTTTTACCGTGATTTCAGTGCATATTTTCCTTGTGTTCTTGAGAATTAATTGTCTTGAAGGCATAATCTGATCAAAGAGTGATCAGGTGTTCTATATTTGGAACGGCGTAACTATAGGCTATTCTGGAAATTGTAGTCTGCCAAGGACAGCCATATATGTGTCTCTCCTGTCTTCAAAAAAGGAATTAAGCAGACAACTTATACCCTCATCAAAAGACAGGGAACTCAGAGTTTAGTGAGAACATGCACCTGGATGTCAGAACTCTGAAATGCATTCTAGTAAATCCAGAATTCAGCTGGAAGAAGTGACCATAAAAACCCATAGGGTTGGTGGGGTGGTGCCTGTGGCTCAAAGGAGTAGGGCCAGCTCCATATGCTAGAGGTGGCAGGTTCAGACCCAGTCCTGGCCAAAACAAAAACAAAAACAACAACCCATAGGGATTAATGAGCCATAGTAGCAAGATGGAATTCTGAGCCTACTCCTTAGCCAGTATACCAGTGAAGAAAGCTTGGCTCCTACAGGGTAGAGTTTCCTTCATTTGCTCTGGGAAAAAGAAAAGATAACCTCCCTTAAAGAAATTAAATTACTTAATTTGGGGAAATTGTAGATTAACATACAGTTTTAAGAAACAATACAGAGAGATCCCACATCCCCTTTACCCAGTTTCCTGCA